CTTGCATTATTCTCGAATAATATTCATACTTCACTATCTTCTCGCAGTAATACTGTGGGTAGTACTAGATATTTTCAAACTTTTCCATTTATTTTCTTCCATTTATTCTATAGAAGAGTCGTCATCGCTTCATTTCTACTAGAAGAAGTGTCGTCTCGTATGTGCACACAATAAGTGTAATTTGCGAGAGAGTAAAGTAATGTATTCTGGTGCTTAAAGATGTCTACGATGGAATTCATTTGAAGTGGAGATAATGAAGTGGATTATTGTTCAGAAGGACTTTATTCCTTACCTAAAAGTGTATTTGTTGAAACAGATGGAAGAAATATCGACTAAATTATGCCCATCCAATGTTAAATGATACAGGAGATGATCAAGATATTAAGGAGGTAATCAAAAAATTTTGACAAGATGCATCCCAAAGGCGTGATTGATTAAACTACTCGAATTTAAAGACTGAAAAGTTAGCATCCTTTGCCAAAGAAAGCTAGTGGTGCATGGCATAATGATTTAAGGGAGTATTCTAGTGTAGAAATTCAAGAAAATCGTTTTTTTTTATTTCATATTTTCAAAGTTTAACTATCTAAAAATATGGGTACGAGAAAATTTGTATTATTTTCGGAATATTACTGACTCGGTCTCCATACTGGTTTGGCTTCACGCAAAACTTTAAATGCGTTTTTTTCTTAGAACAGACTTTTTCAGTACTGTTGACACGATTTTTCGAGTTTTAATTGAACGATTCACTTGAAATGTTTAGAGAGTCTTGTTTATAGCCCGAACTGAAATTATCCCCAAATTCCAATTTTTACTATTTTTAAAAAATTCGAGAAACTCAAAAAATAGTAAAAAAACACTTTTTTTCAACAGTCGCCAATTTAAAAAAAAAAATTTTTTTTACTCATCGCTAGTTTAGGCAAATGCGACATCATTGTAGATTAATAATCATTTTATTTTTTGCATTTTCGACGGCTAGGAGGGCTGAAATCATGTCAAGACTAAGGTGCCAATTTTTTGAGACCACCCACTTTATCAGCTGCCAGTTTTTACAATTTTCTACTTTTTTTTTAAATTTCTGTTTTCTATTTTAATAATATTAATAAACAAGTGGTAAAAAATGGATAGTAAAAACATTCATTGCTTTTTTTTCGACACTTTAAAAATGACCCAAAATTCATCGCTCTTCACTAGATTACCCCCTTAAGGCAAATTACTGCAACTTCCCGTACCGCATTTAAAATTAAAAAAAAAGTTTTGATATTCCTTGAAAATTTTAAAAGCCATTTGAGTCGGTTGAACCATACTGTCGAAAATGTTGAGGACATTTGCTTGAACTCTATGAGGGAGTCATAGAAATGGAAACAAATATTGTATTCACTATTAAAATCTCTATAAAACGTCTGATAATTTGTCTAATGATCATTTCGGACCGCAAATGGCCTTTTCAAAACTTTAAAGTTCTTCGATTCGTCAATACAAATAAAATGTTTTTCAAATCATTCAAATTGGCCCAGTTCTCTCAATAACTGAATTCTCATAGTTCGCATTTTTGCAATTTTGTTGTCCCATATATTTTAAATGGCTATACCTACCTTTACCAAAAACTAATCAGCACTTTTCACCTTGAATCCTTTTGATTGAATTATTCAAATCGGTTTTAAAAATTGTATCCACAAGTAGAAACACACACATATACATTTTTTTTAATGTGTGCCAAAATGTTTAGGCGTTCATGAAATGAGAAGGTTTGCAAAAATTTTCATTTTCTATATTAAGGATAACATATAGCATGTGTATATATAGGATATAACATTTGTCACACATTTTTAACATGTCCCCTGACTGAAGACAGGTGAGCAGTGATTTCATGTCCTGGTTCATATAATTCGAATAGACATTCGATTTTATCTCCCCTGAGATCTTATAAGGATCAACTTTTCAAAAGTTGACGATGCGTGAATTTCGAATATTTCTTCAAAAGTTGAGACATTTTCTGTAACACGTGTCAATTTTAGATTAGAGAAATGCAGTTATATAAAGAAAAATTTACTTACTTTTTAGAAACATCGGTGGTCAATTTTTTTCTGACCATGTATGCTTCAAAAGATGCAGTGTATAATATAAACAAGCACTTCACTTGTAAAGCCAATTCAATACACCTGTTTTAATTACACCTTCTCAAAGCATGCAAATTGCAAAAACTTTAATAATTCAGACAAAACAATTAAAAATGTTTTCCGGCGTTTGCAAAGTAGATACAATTCCATAACGCACTCAGAATTAGAGCAAAATATTTTTCATAACATAATCAAAGAAAATTTAAATTTATAATTTTGCACTGCGAAAACGTTTTTTCTGATGATAATATCTCTCGCTTTTTTCTGTTAATTAATTTTTCAGGTCAGAACAGAAATAATATCCAGCGGAATGTAGATATTACTTTTTTGTTCTCTTGTGAAAACGAATTTCATATGAATAAAGTAGAAGTCTGAGGATGAAATATTCATTAAAACTCTTAAAGCTTTTACTTAATAATTTATACTTACGACTTATTATCTTGTTCTTTATGTGTCTGCTAAAAAATATTTTTATGAAAAAATTAGCTGCAAAATTAAAATTATTTACTTATAATAAAAAAGTAAATAATTTATATTGAAACAAGTGTATATATAAATAATAGTAATGATATCTTTTATAGAAAATAATCTACTAATTAAAAATGATATAAACATTTTAAGCAAATATATTATATATTATATATACATATAATATAGTTTTCTAGATAGATATCACTAATTATAAGTTTTATGCATTTGAACCAAAGGCCTTCTTTTTCTAAAATATTTTTTTTTGGTTTAAATTTTTTAATTTTTGTCAATTAATTTATTTGGCGTTTCAGGGATATGAGATAACCCCTTCTTCAAGATCTGTTTATGATAAATTAAAAAATATACATTTATACACTTTTTAAATGATTATAAAATTGATAGAATTTTTTTTACCTTTATGACACACACTTAACACAGACCAAAACATTTGTTTGAAAATACATCAAGAAAATACGTTATTGTCTACTATTTTGTAGATTGTCTATAAAAAAAAATTAAATTCATTTTCTTCACAGATTTTTCATTTTACTGGTACATTGTAATCCTATTAGTTAAAATGTATTTGTCATCTGTGATGATCTTACTATATTTCTGAATATAATCAGTAATTTATATGTCAATATAAACGTTAATTTTGTTCGATAAATTTGTGAAATTGTAAGAATTATATGTAGACAAAATTGGTAAGAATCATATATAGAAAAGAATTTGTTTGAGAAGGCTTCCATCCAGATAACAAAAAGAAAACTTATATATTTCTAAAAAATGAATAGACTTTCATACGTTTCGAACCCGAATTTGACGCTTTTTCAGTGAATAAAACACATATTATTTGGTAAAACAAAAACCATGTTAAATGAACAAACTACTTTAAAAACGAACATGCTAGTGTAATAGAATAAAAGTACTTAATTTGAAAAAGATTTAATTGAAAATTTAAAAAAATGACAAAAGTAATAAAATTAATACTAAATATGAATAAGAAAAAATAATAAAATCCAATTATATTTAATATATAATAAGACGTCCATCCTGACCAACAGTTGGTGCGGGATTGTGGATGCACGTGAATTAGATTAAAAGTATTTAATTTGAAGAAAACTAAATTAAAAATAAAAATATTTATGTATCAATAACATTTTATTAACAATTTAATAAATGACGTGATTTTATTATGGTAAATTATGATAATAAATGACGTCTATGCTGACCTGAATTGATGATTTGCAGATACACATGAAATATACCATGTTTATAAAAAAAATCTTATTATTCTTTTACATTCCGAGTCTATTTTGTTTATTCTTCAGTGCATAAAATATACAAATTTTGACAACACAAAACCACTTTTTTTAATTTAATTTATTGAAAATATAAATTTTATACATCTCAGACAGACGGAAGTGTCTGGTATGAGAGTCGTACATAATATCTATACAGTAGTATTATTTTATACATGTCATTATTATATGTGTATAATACGGCCATTACAACATTTTATATCATTTATTCTGTAATTCAATTATACGTATATTCATTTTTATTTTTATATGTTGGTCTAATTTATTTATCTATCTTTATCTATCTGTCTACATCTACTTCTACATTTATTTATCTATTTATCTGTATTATATATATTTATTTATCTACATTCAATGAACTTCTATAAGTGCTCTCTATTGAAAAATAAAACAAGTATTCATTTAAAAAAAGAAAAAAAATAATAATATACGAATAAAATAAAATTATAATTATCATATGATAAAAGACGTCCATCCTGACCAACAGGATTGTGGATGCAGGTGAAATATAAAGACTGTTTTATCATAAGGCGCTCAAGTATTATATATGTATATAATATGGGCATTACAACATTTTATATAATTTATTCTATAATTCAATCATACGTTTATTCATTTTTACTTTTATACTTTGGTCTAGTTTATTTATCTATCTTTATCTATCTACATCTACATCTACATGTATTTATATATCTATCTATATTATCTATAACAAACTATCTACATTCAATGAACTTCTATAAGTGCACTCTAGTGCCGAAAAAACAAGTATTTATTCAGGAAAAAATGAAATTAAAATTTGACAAGTAATAATATACGATTAAAATTAAATTATAAATATTATATGATAAAAGACGTCCATCCTGAACAGGATTGTGAATGCACATAAATTTCTTTGTGTCTTTATCATATGGTGCTGATGTATTTACCCAAGTTTAGACTTTTTACACCTTGATCTGTCTATTAATCTCGAAATAAAAACAGTTCTCTCCTGCAATATTTCTGCCTGTGCCTTTTGCACAAGATGTATTACCTCAGTGACCTATTTATCACAGTGTATTTATATATTTTTTTATTTTATTCCTTCCAGAATAATCCACATTGCTCGTGGCTTGGGGAACAGGTATACGATTGGCTGTACCAAGCTCCCGCCTGTCTCGTCCTGGTGATTAACTTGCTGTTCTTATTTCGAATCATGTGGGTAAGTTGAAAAGGACTTTAAAGGATTTTAAATAGTGGAAACTATAAAGGATAGATTTTGTTTGTGATTTAACACTTTCGG